TCAGTCAGTCAGTCAGTCAGTCAGTCAGGCCGTCAGTCAATCAGTCAGTCAGTCACAAAGTCACAAAGTCAGTTAATCAAAGTCTGCCAGTCAGTAAGACAGTCCATCATTCATTCTATCAGCTAATTAGCACCTAATGGACAATAGTGGACCAGATGGGAAATCCTGCATTGTTTTGAAAACTTTTGATTAGAAGAGTGTAGGTCGATTGTGTGTGGATTTCTACTGTCACATTCTTTCATATGCGCTAACCAGAGTGCATTTTCCGTAGTATGGTTATAGCATACGGTAGTCCTGTGACATCCATCTCATATCGAAGCTGGATGAGCCTTGAAATATGCGAGGACCCGGTACTACTTGTAAATGTCGCCATCAACCTTCTTTGTCTTTACCGGTCAGTATGAATACTTTTTTATTTAAACATATTTGAATACGTATTTGTCCCAAGAGCTCAAAGGCGGCTTACACCAGAATGAATTACATTCCTTGGAAAGATTATTTACATCTTTCTTGGATCAGGATTTGTTTGCATTTCGCCTTGCCTTAATAGTCTACTTACTTTCAATTCAAAGCAGAAAAGACAAATTAGGCCAAATTTTAACAATGGCAATACACAATTCGTGGTTCAGTCCTGGTTTGGTCTAAAATTTGGCAAACTACTTCGACAGCTTGAAGGACGCTCGATGATAAAGGCGTCGCCGAGTTCACTTTGAAATAATGTGGGCTAAAAATGATCTCTTATAAACAACGAGAACCCGGCAAACAGTGTGATCAATTAGAAAGCATTAGATTTTGGATTATAAAAATAGAAATTTGCTTATTTGATATGACTATTTGGTAAGTGTGCTTCTGGAGTCGACAAACAATAATTCCAGGGTGTTCTAGAGAGTAAACCGATCGATAAACCTCTAAGCATTCTGTCTAACGGAAGGATTCTTTTCTTGGTTTCAGGGTCATTGATAAAAAGGGCGGTCTGAAATTAAGAAGTTCATTCCCCATTAAACACAAGAGCTGTCACATACGAAGTTCGTTTTGCCCTCTGACTTCTTCTAGTCAAGGTTACACTTCTTTTGGTAAGAATTACTTTTAAACACCAAGACAGGATGAAGGTTAAGACAGCTGAGAGTTAATCCCCGATATACCGGAAACTGCCTCCGGTTATAGGCCCATATACCTGTAAACCAAATAATACATCCGGTTATAAGCCCCCCCTTCCCTGCCCCCGTCTTCGGATATAAGCCCCCCCTCTAGCTGTCCTTGTTTTGAATTCGTTTTATTATGATGTTTCGAAGCTTAATTAACAGTAAATGAAAAACCTATTTCCATCAACATGTGCAGCTATAGCTCGTTTCGGAACAGTTTTTTTAATTCCAGTTTTAAGACCCTCGGATATAAGCCCCTCCGTCTATATAAGCCCATCTAAAACCCCTTACAAAGTTATAAAAGCCCAGGGCTTATAAGCGGCAGTCTACGGTAGGCCTTATTCCCTACTTTTAGATCACTTCCGGCTTCAGAAATCCCAGGGGTTATAGAAACAGCCAATCTTGTGAGGCAAATTTTACTCGCGTGGACGGCCCAAGTAGATTTACACGTATTTTCGCCCTCCACGAAAACATCCACGTAACGCTCGTGGTGATATAAGCCGCGGGAGAACTGGGTACCACATCTAAAAATGACTTAGCGGGAAGAGATTACCTTGAAAATTAGATCCATGTATCGGGGATTAACTCTTGCACCCTTTATCCACTCTTGTTTAACGCATGCAGAAGCCAAAGGCATATTATTATTCTGTAATGAAACACTACTGACTTTTGACAACCTTAACATGAGAGAAAGCTGGAAAAACACAAAGCGTAGACCGCTGACAGCTGGTATTTTCTCTTAGAGTCAGAATAGTGCTTGTTCGTGAACACGAAGGCATAAGGGCGGCACGGACGAAAAGGGCTTGGGACGAGTGTCTCATCCCAATCAATTATCACGAAAGGGCAAATCGCTTAATACTGCTTTTTTAAGTTGTATTAAGCGATTCAGGTCCTTTGGTGGTAAAAAGGACTTCTTTTAAAAAAGAAGCTCAAAGGGAAGGGAACATTAAAAAAGAAAACTGGCGTGAATAAAGCGCGTAAGAAAGATCTTGAGAAAACTGCTGCCATCCTATTTTCGTTAAGTCTATAGACCGTCTTGAGCGTTGTTTCGTGTTTTTTCTCTCCTAATATAGTAAGCGGCAGTGAAGACATGGCTGTGCACAGTTTGACATGTGACAGTCCAGATGTGACAAATGTAACAAAGTTTCTTGGTCACTCGGCACCAGTTCTCGACGTTTGTTGGAACTATGACGAGACGTTAATGGCCTCTTGTGATACGAAGGTACGTGTCAGCGTTCTAAGGGCATGCTTTCTGGATTACAACTACAAAATTAGAGTGCGTGGTCCAACACAGAGACCTTCTTTGGGTTGTTTTCCACAACTACTGGGGCGGATACAGGATTTTAGAGTGGAGGTTCGAGATACGGGCCGCCGAGGGGGGTCGCCTGTAGGGGGCGTCCGGGGGCATCTTCCCCCGGAAACATAAAATTAAAGTACTGGGAAAGGGGATTTGCGGCATTCTGAGGCCAAGTCAGCGTGTTGTAATGTCTCATTTTTTTTAATTCAGGGGATTCGACCGAGCCCCCCGACCCCTCCCCCCCCCCTCTAGATCCGCCCCAGAAATAAAAGGCGAAAATTGTCTTCGTGACTGGAACAAATCGAATACCGCGAATTTGTAAGGAAATGCGATCAAAATGATAGTAAGAACGTTATTCCATCATCATTGCTACCTTAAAGCTTGAAATTGAAGACGATCGATAAGCCAGACACAGCTAAAAATAGCATTTGCAAGATTAAGCCCTTCAATCTTATTGCTGTTTTTCTCAATTAATTGTAGTCCTTTTGTTCTGTTTCCGCATTTAATCTGCATCCTGCCTGCTGTGCTTGAGAAGGGAAATGTAATGGTATGGCGAAAAGCTAGAGGAAAAGCAATCGAGGACAGTAGTTTGGCAGACAAGTCCACCACTACTTCTGTAGCTAAAGCAGCAGATCGTCTATCCTTAGCGTGACACGCTGAGTGGATGATACAGTGTGACACTCATTGTGTGACAGGCTTTGTGCGTGACACAGTTTGACACTGTGGCCTTCTGGTTCAACTCCAAATACAGAGCTCCATACAGATTTGGCCGTGGTCGTTCTGTTGAGTTTGTGGACGAGACATTTTTAAAAATCTCACAGTAGCCTCGGGGGAAGACTCCTATGTGAAAAGGTCGGGGCTTGTACTGGTCAGAAAATTTGAATTAAAACCCTAAAGAAGACCCATCTGGGTGTGGCTCGTGCGTTATTTGACCCCTAAAAAATACCACTTAAAACGGACATGACAGCGTTTTTTATCCTTTCTTTGAGAACAACCCAAAAATAAACCTTTACGGCTAAAAAGTGGCGTTTAGTCCTGAACAACCTTAATGAGGCAACAATCCGTGACTTAAACCCCTAAGCTAGCCGATGAGCATCCCCGCCTTTCAACATGGGAGTCTCCCTCCTTCCTCCGAGGGACAGTACCTCTCTACACCTTGGTCTGTAACTGGGTAACCTCCGATGGACTACCTTCCCGGTTCTACTCAAAGTCAGTCGATGTTACAGAAAGACGAGTAGTTACGACAAAACCAACTACGATTTGTTGTTCTTTCCCCAACTAAGTGTTCTAGGTGTGTTGGTGTTTGGCCGAAGGTACTTGGTTATAATTTTATCACCGCCAATTCCGCTGACAAAAAGATACAATTAAAATCCCGTGTTAAGTAGGTTTTTAAAGCTAAAGAGCAATGGTAAAGGTAAAGAGGTATTAAAATGCCTCTTTACCATTGTACAGGAGCTCTATGATTGACGTGAAGTATCTAACATCGATAGGAGAATAAAGTAATGAATTTATGATGAAAAAACAATTCTCTGTAATTTTTTAATCGCTTCAGTCCTACTTTCTACATGTATACTCTCCTTTCTAATTGTGGTATATTTCTTTAAATGATACTTTAGTGAATTTGGTAGCAAATCAGGATACTGATGGCTTCTCTAAAAATAGTGACACAGGCTACCCATCTCCGCGTATAGTGACTTACTTACGACCGTTCCACTTCGTTAGCAAAGAATGTTCTTCCTGTGGTTTTCCACCCTGCTTGGGTTGGTTATACTCTCTCAATTTCTTAGTAAGTGATAAATCAAAAAAATTAACCTCAAAAGACATGAAGAGGGAATCCTTTCTACGATGGACTTCTCTCAGTTCAAAGCACTTTGACCCATCCTTTGCCTTTTGTTATCTCGAAATTAAAAACATACGTAAGTCAATGCAGGCTGAACTAAGCTTATTGCTTACGTTGTCAGTTCTTTAATGAGGTCCTTAACGTTTCTGAATAAATTTTAAAAAATGATCCGCATTCCTGTCGAACGTAACCTAACTTTTCGCAGGAGAAACTCGTAGATA